GTTATTTAAAATACTAAAAGATGATGGTGTTAAAGTGCTGCACTCAATATGCCAGCAAGTTAGATGAAAATTGTCTTGAGCTTGTTAGAATAAACAACTAGCTACTCTTATGCGTTGAACCTTGGTTGACTGAATTATCTAATCTCATGATTCTTTGTGCCTGGACCTAACTCTGAAACTTTGAGTAGGCCTTTGACTAATTTGGCTTTGGCTCTTGGTTGACTTGCTGGTTATATTTTGGTGTGTCTCCCTAGTCACAAGTACTCTTTTTGGAATTATGATTTTGCCACCTGATTACGCTTTTGATTCTTTCATTTACCAACCGTGACCTGGGATAGGATAGTATTTGTAATCTTGGGGACCATCCTATTATCCAGACATCAAGAGAATGGATCCATAAGTAGAACCCCCAAGTGACAACCTGCACCAGAGGTGAGTTGAAAGTGCATCCCTGCACACAGGAAACAGGAACTTTCGTCTATCTATGCATCATTCACCACTCCAGAAATTCCCATGACACTCTGTGAGTCGCAGTGAGAAATAGACATGCAGGACTTGCAAAAGTTTGACAAATAGAAAAGGGATAAAATAACACAAAAAAAAGGAAGCACTATGCAATGCTTTGGTTCCACCCACATCAGATCAAGCTCTTCCCATTGCTAGTTATGGGTATGGGTCCAATTTATGTATTTTTCTTGTGGATCAATTGCATTTTAGAATGCAATTATTAGAAAAATAAATTTAAAAACTGAATGCTTGAATTTGAAATACCACCTTTCCACTTAACTGGCAATTACTGGACATAATAAAGAACTGCTGTCATTCATTCTGTGGCCCATCTTATTATTTTCAAATAATAAGGGAAAAAGGCCTTCCACACTTAAAATGGATGAAAGGTGGCAGGTATTTAAATACTGTTTTTCCTATTTAAATGTGATGCATTTGGAGAGTTAAATATAGATAGAAATGTTTTCTGTCTTCTTTTCTTTTCAAATGCATAATCTAAGAAGTTTAGTCTTCTTCTGAGGAGAACGCAAGGATGCCCACAGAAGAGTGATATACACTGATTTTTTTTTTCTGCATCTGAGTTCATTTCTCTCTCTCTCTTTCTCTTTTTTATGAACCTGACAATCAC